GAGAATGTTTTCTGCGAGGAAGATGAAAACCAGAACCAGGAAGCGTCAGACTACTAGTCATGATGTCGCCGTTGTAATAATTTATGACCATGTTACCAGTCCTAGTAAAGTTTTTGATCGGTTTAGATGCTAATATCCTGATTTCCATCTCATTGTCAATTAAAGACAAAAATTAACTCACTTTCCTGAATTTGGTACTTTGTACTTGTTCAGAAGCGCTCTAATCTCAGCAATAAATTGCATTTTATGAGGAAACACAGGTAATTCTTCCGGAAATTGACTACTCTGCTTATCTATATCTACATAACAAAGATTCGCCTGTGAACAGGCACAATTAACATTACACTTGGCTAATAGTAAACAATTGTCTTAATTTTTCACTACCAACAGAATACATTAAAAAAAAGATATTAATAACAAAAAAGAGTTACATGTATCATTTTTTTTTATTCAAGATATATCTTAATTGATATGAAAAATAAAAGTAAAACCGACATTTTCCAAAATTTTGGTATTAATGAATCATCATATTTAACATTTACAACACTGGACATTTGAATTATCGGTATCACATCAATAAGAAAAAAACATCAAAATTGAAATTGTTAAATAATTCTTAAAATATTAAAATTACGGTTTATTGCAGATTTGCATGATACATTAAAAGATTGATAATATTATGCATTATTATTTATGTAGATGCAATTATTTTCTCTCAAATACAATAAACAAAAACAAAGTACAAAAAAGAATTCTAGGAAAACATACTTCGCTAGCAATCTTTAATACGCCGCCCTCGCTTTGTGCATGCAGACCCATTATAAAGGGCACCGGTGCATCTAAGAAGTGATGCAGACTGGCTGGCAATATTGGCACGTAGACGTGTTGCCAGGAGAACGGAAACAAGAGTGCCGTTATGCATTCGGATACCACCATCAGCTTGTGAAAATCGGCGCTCCTCAAGAGAACCTGATTCTCCAACAGCACGCACGTGAACAACTGAATCAGGCAGTCTGCGCCTAGCCATGTGAATACGTCCTTGAGAGGATAGTCCAACATCGGAAGCTCCAGTAATGATGATGGTTGATAAATAACTAGTTCCAAGGGTGATTTCGCTGGTTCATCGTTAGGTACAAAAAATTTCAATGATTTGCCAGGCAATGGTACCGGTACGTTGTACAGAAGGTTATAGACATAAGCTTTAAATCCACAAAAAAACTCACTAATTTTCCCTTTGGTTTACTTATTTGCCTGCCCACTAAATAATTTAATTTGAAACTTCCCCGTCCTCTCCCTTCTTTATAATCGGAACAATAACCCTTTTCTTCCAACCCTCCGACTAGCTTTCTATATTTTTATATTAAAATATGAATATTAAAATATTTATAATATATTTTTAACTTAAATATTATAATACAAATATTAATAAATATATTAATCACATATTATTCTCCCTACACACATTTTACGTTATTTACATGTCAGCAAATTATTTGCAGAAAATAAAAAATGTTTAACAAAAATTGTAC